TTTATTGATAATTCCCTCACTAAATAAAAATGAAATCTGTCTCTTATGCAGTGTTACAGCCTGAATTGTGTGGCCGCCCCCTACCCCACCAATTCATTATGTTGAAGTCCTACTTCCCAGGACCTGAGAATGTGACTGTATTTGGAGACAGGGCCTTTAAAGAGGTGATTCATTCAAAAGGAGGTCATTAGGGTGGGCCCTGATCCAAAGGGACAATCGGACACGGACTCACACAGAAGTAAGGTGAAGACTCACACAGAGGTGAAGACTCAGGGAGAAGAGAGCCGTTGACAAGCCAAGGAGGGAGGCCTGAATGCATCCTTCCCCCGTGGCCTTTGGAAGGCACCAACCCTGCCCACACCCTGATTTGGACTTCTGGCCCCCCGATCCATGAGACAATACATTTCTGTTGCTTAAGCCACCTAGCCTGTGGTACTTTGCTACGGCAGTCCCAGGAAATTGCACACGCGGCAGTGACAGTCATGAAATGCTTGGAGCTGGCTTCCCTCTCGCACACACAACCCTAAGAAACGGGGCAGAACTGGGATGTAAACGAATGAGTCAGACCAGGACAGCTTATTCATTGCTCCGACTAAGCCACAGGCTGAACCCTTGAATCACTACTTTATTTATCATCGGGGCCCGGGCTCAGACTCTCAACGGGGAAATGAGTAGAACCCAAACTCATCGGCTGAGTTTTTGAGACATGCCTAATCTCCAAGGCCCTTTCTGGGCCAACATGAAAAAAAGCAAAGAGGTGAAGTGATGGGCTCTGCACCTCGGCCGGCAGTGCACTGGCTTGTCGGGGGCCCGGCGGTGCTCAGACAGAGCCCTTTGTTCTGTCCCTCCGTCTCCGGGACGAGGGCAGAGAGAAGGGCCTGTCTTGCTCAGCGGGGAGGCCGAGCAGGGGCTGCCTGGCACAGTTGGCTGGGGATGCTGGGTGCACAAAGGGCTGGTGGATGGGGACTGGGGGGAGGGCAGCATCCAGAAGGGGTCAGAGGGCCCCAGAATGTGCGGTTTCCTCCCCTGGAGTTAAAGCAGCAATGTCATGGTCGGGGAACAAGCAGAGGAGGACACGTGAACAGCAAAACTTAGTCTGTGCTTGAGGACGGACTGGCGTCTGGAGCCAAGAGGGCAAATGCGAGAAGATAACGTGGCTTCAAGAGCCACAGTGATCTGGGGCTACCTCCAAAGTAGCTCTTTGAGAGGAGAATCTGATACCTCTAATCTCGGAAGAAAAGCAACAATTTGTTCCGAGACAAGGACCGTTCCTGCAGAAATCCAGGTCAGTGGGAAGACAAAGAAGAGACAGACAATGGCATCTGCTGTGCCAGCGAGTGATGACGGCCCCAGCTCACCTCCTCTTCCTCCTCTGCTGAACATTCTCGGGGCACGTTCTCTAACTCCCCCTCAGTCCATTCCCAGTGGTGTCTCCTTTTTATCAGGACCCCAGATTAAGAACCAAGCAGATGGCAGAATTCAGTTGCTGGCCTCTTTTCCCCACACCTGCCCTTGGTAGCAATTTGCTGGGAGCCCAACAAACACCAAAGACCCACTGAGGCAATGGTGGGCCTGGAGCGGGAACCAGATTTTACTACAGAGCAGTGCTCCTGTCCCCCAGGGGACACACAGCCATGTCTGGGGACATTTTTGGTTGTCACAACTTGGGGTGGGTGTGTACTATTGGCATCTCGTGTATGAAGGCCAGGGATGCTGCTCGACATCCTATAATGCACGGGGTGGCCCCACAGCAAAGAATGACCCGGCCCCAGATGTCAATGGTGCTGCAGTTGAGAAACTGCTCTAGCAATTTGTTCTTCGCCAAAGTGAGGTTACTAATGATCCTCCGTACTTCTAGAAAGCACAGGGAGCCATTTCTGAAGTCGTCACCTGCCTGAGCCTAGTTTCTATATCGAGAAAATAGGAACTGCAATCCCCTTGCTGCCGGTTGGCAGAATAAAAGAGTTGGGTATAAAAGCATCTATCACAGAAGATGCTCAATAAAGAGCTGCACATGGACGTGCTTATGTGGTTCCCTCTTCCCCACTTGGTTTAACACCTCTGTATCCTTCAAGGCTTGGCTTAGGGCCAGCCACCTCTCCTGAGGAAACTTGCTGGAATCCCCCATGCCCTGAAGCTTGTGCTGGTCGTTCCTGATTCTGTCCCCACAACTTCTTGTGCCACTTCTGTTGCTGCACTGACCAACTACTCTGAACTCTATTATTCCTGCTGGGGAGGGCGGCCCACTAGAATGTCCCTCCCCCAGGGCACAAGGGCTCATCTCTGCCCCTGGGACCCAGCCCACAGCACCTTGCATGATCAGCCCTTGCTTCACTGAATTCTGGGTCCACCCAAAATACACAACTTCAGGGAGACAAGGAAAGGGAAGCTTTACGTTAACAAGCCTCTGTTGGGGATAGAAGATGGATCCTACAGTGAAACAGAATGGGGAGATTCCCAAGTCCCCACCTGCTTCACCAAGTCACAGGCCTGGACCTGAGGGAGGGTCTCACCCAGGGATTTCCAGCCAGAAGGATGCAGCTGAAACCCTGGGAACAGGTATGATGTGCAAAAGCACATTTGGCACTCCAATTTCCCACGTGGAAGATAAGGAAGCAGTAAGATAATCATATTCAGATATAAAATGTAGGACGGAAAGCCCAACAAAAGTGGGATCACCACGGTGGGGATTCACCTGTTGGGGGCTGCATAAAACTAGACAGGGCTGTGTGCTGGAGACACCAAGGCTGGGTTTCAAAGTTGCAGAACACTGATTAGGCCAATCCATTCATTTTGCAAGTAAAGAAACAGACGAAGAGACTTGACGGAGGTTAGGACCCCCAACACAAGACCCTCCAAGAGAGCCTGCCTGGCCACGCTCCTGGAGGAAGGAGACAACAGCAGGGCTGTGGAACCAGAAGATTCTGATCCAGTTCATGGTGGGGGGTGGGAGAGGGGGAGGGGGAGTGTCCCAGCCAGGGCAGGCCCATACGCAGAACCTGCATGAGGCATGACTGTGGGCTCTAATCATGTGTTCTGGGGCAAGCGCAGCTGAGAGTCTCGCTTACAGAAGCTTCCATAAGGGCCAGAACATTCTGGAAGTGAACGGGGTGGTTATCTTTCTGTGGCCCTCTTTACATTCAAGCTATCCAGGCTCGTGTCCTGAACGCACTATAAACCCAGGCTCCTTGGCCCTTCTAGCAGGTCCCAGACAAGGATCCCCAGGGTCGGGAAAGAAGAGAAATTAATGCTGATCAAAACGGTTTAGAGCAAGGCCCTCCCCAGAGCCAGGCCCATCAGACAACTTTCCAGCTGCCCATGTCACCTCCCACTGCTCCTGGATGCCTTAAGCGTTTGGAGACTCCAAGACCAGAACATACCTCAGGAAGGTAGGAGCTGGGACCCTCCAACTGTAAGGCACAATGTCCCCACCAGCTCCCACCTCAGACAAAGAGGTGTGGGAGAGGCTTTCCCTTAAAGACTCCTGGCCTACAAGGCGCCTGCCTGCGGCTACCGTGCCTCTCCCAGGCTGAGCTCACAGCCACCGGGGGACAGATTTCCTGTATGTCTTTTTACCCATTTAAGTCCAAGGATGCAACTCGGAGGAGGTGGTGACAGCCTAGCACATGCGGCTGTGTGCGCACCCACCCCCGCCCCCTCTGAAACCCAGTTCCGGCCCCATAGCTGGGGTGGGGGGGGCCCAAGAGCTCCTTCCTTGCTCCCTAGAACCCCCAGGCTCTAGCCAGTCCGCTCTTAGGAGGACAGTGTTGGGTTTTCAAGTCCTGAATACCGCCCAGAAGGTGCTGAAACTAGCCTGGGTCACCCAGCAGTTGGGGGTGCAGTCAGGGATAAGATGAATCAAGAGGGTAAGACGGGCCCCAAATCTCCATGGTCTGCACCCCAATGTCTGAACGGGGCCATTCTAGTCCTTTCCTTTCCTCCCCTCCTCCCCAGGCTCTCCCTGGACCAGACCTCACTTCTTGCCATGGCTTCCATCCCCCTTCTGCCTCCCCTCCCATCCCCCATTTCCCCTCTTACCAATTCGGCCGGCCACCGCACCAGTGGGTTCAGAGCCCCTCACATTTACTGAGCACCCACTGAGTCCCAGGCGCTGCCCTCCCTCAGGCACCATTCCTCTACCTCTTCACCGTAGGCAGACGCCCCCAGGCCGTCCTGCACCGTTCCCCCCCAGTCGCACCCCGGCTGTTCCCCCACCGGCCTTGCTCCTCTCAACCCCCAGGCTGGGCCTCTCAACCCCGCCTCCTTGCTTCTCCCCCTCCCAGCCCCGTTTCCTGCGACCCCCCAACTACCACTTAAGCCACGTCCTCTTCAGAGAAGCTGCTCAAAGCCACAAGATCTGCCTCCACACCCGCCCAAAAACTCCCTCACCAGGCCCATCACATCAGCTTTCTCCTTCATCGTCCCGTTCCCACTCCGTCTCCTGCAAACTCTCCACGACCCCCAAGCTCGTTCCCGCCTCCTCGACCCCTGCTTTCGCGCCCCCCCCCCCAACTAACCCTTATCCCCGTCCCTCTACAAGGCAGCCCGCCGATGCGAGCTTCGAGATCAAACACTCGACCCGCGGCCGCCCGGCACTCACCTGGGCCTTGGCCGCCGCGCGCCGCCGGTCCCGGCCCGGGTCCCCGCCCGGCAGCCAGCCCGCTGCTCTTCGGGCGCTCCGCCCCACCGCGCCCGCCGCTCCCCCGCGCGCTCCCGCTTCCGGGTTCCGGAGGGGCGGGTCCGGGGGCGTGACGCCAGGGCGCCAAGGGGGCGGAGAAACACGAATCCCCGCCCATCACTTCCGACCCGGCCCCGTCACCGCCCCCTGCCGCTGCTGGGCGAAACCAAGTGTGAGGGGAGGACAGAGAGACGCGCGAGCAGGAGGCGCCCTCTCTGCCCACAGCCACGCTCTACACGGCCCGAGGCCACCCCTCTTGTAGCTTCGCAATATGGCCTGGTCGGGGCGGGGGCGGGGGGGGTTCGACTTGAAGAGCCGGCCTTTGAGTTGAAGGCGGGAAAATGGCGGATACCTCGGGGCGTGGTGCTGGGTGAGTCGAGGCACCGTGGGTCTGGATTTATGGGTGCCAGCTGGAGGGCCCTGGTCGAGGGCTGGGGGCAGAGGGGCAGCAGAGTTGGGGAGGGAGGGTCCTTGGGGTGAGTCCGGATCTGACTCCTCCAAGAACCACCGAGGATGCGCAAGTTCTGGGAGGTGGGATGCGGCCTTGCGCATGCTCGGGAGCTTGGGCTCAGGACCTTAGGGCGAGTTCGGGTCCCTGGTCAGCCGTTTCGATCCGGGGCGATGTCAGGCGAGTGGCTTAACCTCTCTGTGCCTCGCTTTCCTCCGTCGCGAAACCGGACTGTTGACGCCGCCGTTCAGTTTTGTAGGCCTAGTGTGAGGCTTAAGAGCGTTTAGAATAGTGTCTGGCCCCTAAGTGCGATCCGTCGGTATTACGATTACCGCTTTGTAGTGGATAACTGCTGGACCACTGAAGTATCTCCTTTCATTCTCCCACACGCTTTTTTCTATTCTCCCCATTTACAAAGGAGATGATGGAGGCTTAGGGAGGGAAGGTCATTTGCCCAAGGGAGACGTCGAACAATGACCTGGTGCCTGGCGTGATTCCTGGGCTTTGTTCATTCTGCCAATGTTTATTGTGCCTGTGCGAATTAAAATTTAGTGGGCCATCTGAAATCGCTTGTTTACTCCACAGCCCCTTGACCTAACTGTGAGATTGACGTTAGCCTCTCCGAGGTTAAGGGGAAGTACTTGAGGCTGGAATATATGTAGTGACACCCCTCCCCCACCCCGTGTCCCTGCAGGTTTGGCCTTAGTCCGTTTGGTTTGGCTCCAGAGCCCTGGCTCAGACCCCAGAGGGAATCCTTGCTCTGTCTGTTTCCAGCTCTGAGACTCCCCAGGGGTGATCTGTATAAACCTTGGGTCCTTGTCTGGAAAGCAAAGATAAAAGCAGGCTAACAGTCAGGTATTTGTAGGGTGGGGAGGATTCCATGAGGGAGTAGAGCAGCTGGCACCCAGCCAGCATTTGTTAAGTTGCCTCTCCCCACTGTGGCTTGGAGGTGCCCCCCCAGCGTGGCCTGGGTCTCACGTTGGAGTCCCCAGAGACCACTACACAGAAGATGGCTGCAGTGAGCTGAGCAAGGGGCCACCACTGCTGTCTCCAGTGGAGCCCATCTTGTGACGACAGCAGGATTTACAGCACCCAGACCCCTGCCTGGCATCCCGCTCGCCCAGACTGGACACCTGGGAGGCATCCCCGACTCTCCCACACCCACCGGCTGACTAGTCAGTGATTCCTACTTCATGGGACCCTCTTCTCTATCATGTCAGGCTTCATTCTTTTTTTAAATTGAGGCAAAATGCACATCACGTCAAATGAACCGTTGTAAAGCGAGCAATTCGATGGCATTAAGACATTCACAACGTTGTGCAATCGCCACCTCTACCTAGTTCTAGAACATTTTCATCACCCCAGAAGGAAACCCTGTGTCCATTTGCAGTCTCCACCCATCCTTCATGCTCCTCAGTCTGCTCCTGGTAACCACCAGTCTGCTTTCTGTCTCTGTGGATTTGCCTGTTCTGGACATTTCATATCCATGGAATCATACACCATGTGGCCTTAGTGCCTGGCTTGTTTGACTCAGGATAACATTTTTGAGATTAATTCGTTTCAGCATTGATAACATTTTTGAGATTAATTCGTTTCAGCATTATCAGTACTTCATTCCTTTTTAGGACTTAATAATATTCAGGGTCATTATTTCTTTTTTATTTATTTTTGGCTGCATCGGGTCTTCGTGGCTGTGCGCAGGCTTTCTCTCGTTGAGGTGAGCAGGGGCTACTCTTCATTGCCGTGCGCAGGCTTCTCACTGCAGTGGCTTCTCTTGTTGCGGAGCACGGACTGTAGGTGCGCGGGCTTCAGTAGTTGTGGCTCACGGGCTCTAGAGCGCAGGCTTAGTTAGTTGTGGTGCACGGGCTTCATTGCCCCGCGACATGTGGGATCTTCCTGGACCAGGGCTCGAACCCGTCCATGTCCCTTGCATTGGCAGGCAGATTCCCAACCACTGCACTACCAGGGAAGCCCCAGGGTTTGTTATTTCTTGACAGGAGTTTTGCAGCAGATGTCCGTCCCACGCTCCCGATCACTCTTTCACCATGCCAGGGGTCCCCCAACCTTGACAGTGTTGACATCTGGGGTGCGATCATCTCTGTGATGGGGGCCGTCCTGTGCCTTGTAGGGTGTTGAGCAGCATCCCTGGTCTCTACCCACTGAGCCGATAGCAGCCCCCTCTGTTGTGACAATCACAGGTGTCTTCACACATTGCCAAATGTCTCCTAGGGGTCAGAATTGCCCTCAAGTGAGCACCCCTGGGTTATTTGTCTGACAAATATTTATCAAGTGCCTCCTGTCTGCCAGGCTGTGAGGGACTGAATGTTTGTATCATCCCACACCCCCTCCTCAAATTCAGTCTTCTCCAGCTAAGCCATAGGGCTGATCAGTTCCAATTTCCGCATCATTCTGCTCTGCGCCTGTGCCCTTGGTCTTGGTGATCCCTGTCTGGAAATATCCTTCCTCATGTGCCTGAGCAAATGGTTCTTTGTCACTCACCCCCAATCCCCACCCCTTTACCTGTCTGGAGTGCTCGCTCTTCACGCTTTGCCTGATGGGAAAATGCTGGTCATCCCTCTCAGGGAAGGAGCTTTGTCTGCGTTCACCTCGTATCCTCAGTGGTATACAGCTGACACACAAACGCCCAACAAATTAATGAGATCGAGACCTTTGAAGTTCGGCAAAAATGCTCGCTCTTCTCACGTAGGTGTTGTCCCCAGGTGACGGGGCTGGGGCTCTGTTTTCCTCCTGCCATGGAGGTGGCCCCACCTCGCAGAGATGGGCATGGGTGGTGGGTGCTGGGACTGGGCTGTCCCGAGGAAGCCCAGGTTCCTGGCTGGCTTCCCTGAGCTTTCTATCCAACTGCATTAACAAGACCCCCGTTTTCCTCTTTTAGGAAACCTTCTGCAGGGGGTCCCAGTACTCCTAGCGGTGCTAAGATGAGAGGAAGAAGAATACAAGGTGAGTAAAATTGGAATCTACCTTTTGAAATGGAATCCACTGGAATAAAAAGTGATTTTTTTCTTTCCCCCCCCGTAAGTGCTTTTGGAGAAGAGAAAAACAGACCAGAGCAGGGGAGCTGGGGCTTTACCCGCTTCTAGTCACACCTTTGGGGACCCCAACTCTGGTTACCCAGCCCTGCAACCAGGGGTGTGGCAGGACCTGGTGGGGGTCATCTAGGGCAGTGGGCCCTTCCGGCCATGGGGGTCATCACTTGGAAGTGTGGGTGAGGAGAGTGTGAGCTGAATTCATTAGGAAACATCAAAGTCTGTTTCTTCTCAGTAAGCGCGTCAGACCCTTGGGGGTGCCCACACATCCGATGTCTACCTGTGCATCCGGGGTCACTGTCAACAGCCCCCCTTGACTCTTGGCAGTGCCCAGTTTGGGGCTGTAGACCCAAGGATCTCCCACGTTGGATCTCAAGCCTCTGTTAATGATGAAGTATTTTTTTATGCCTGTGGACTAGTGCAGGTCTCAGAGAACCTGGAGCAGAATTCCAGTTCCAAATGACTGGAGGTTTATATGTTATAGCATCACAGCATCGCTGGATGATCTGGTCTGTAACATCTGTTATATTTACACAGGGTCTAGCTCTTGGACGCAAATTATATCCTTCATTGTAACATTGCTTCTGTGGAAAATCTACCACTGTTGAAAACAAACAGGTGCCTTCTAATTTTCCAGAAACTTGAAACTGCTTTTCAACTGTGCAAGGAACCCAGAGCCTCCTTCCTACCCTTTGCTGATGGTATTAGAAAGACCCAATGCAGGATGGTCTCCCCACTCTTGGAACTGGGGGTGTTCTTCGCCCCAATCCTTCACTGGACATCCAGTGGCAGACCCTAGGTGTGGCTCGATTCTCTCCCCTGGACCCCGCCTGGTCCTGGCCTCAACCCTTAGGTGCCTCCTGCCTGAATGTCTGAGCCACTTGCCCTGCAGGCACGGCTCATCCCTGCCTGGGGCACGCCCCGGGCAACCAACACCTCCGTGTCCAGCTCCAGGCAGCCTGTTAACTGTGGTTGTACCTCTTTTCCACTCAAGCTTGCGGCTGCAGCCCCCATCTAAAGAAAGATGCAAATTCGGGCATGAAGGTAATATGGTTGAAATCCCAGTCTTGGGACTGAACTGTCAAGGCAGGTGACACTGACCACATCACTCTCTAGCAAAAAGGGAGACCCCTGAGCTCTGGGGGCACCTAGGAAAAGTGCAGACTCATGCACTTGACACATTGCTGAGCACCTCCTCCCTGCGAGGTGGTGGAACGTGGCAGCAAGCAAAACAGACAAGAATCCCTACCCTCAGGGGGCTTGCCACTCCGGACACAGGCGGTGAATCAGGAGACGTAAGGAGACACAGGGTGTATTGGACAGTGACAGTTGCTGAGGATAAAACAGCAGGATGGGGGTAGCTTCTGGCCTAAGGGAGGGGCTGGGCCGAGCAGAGTCGTGAAGGTGGCAGGGGTGGCATGTGCCCGCTGGTTGGAGGAACAGGTGACACGGGACCTGCAAGGTGTCTGGAGGCACTCACCCTTCACCAGCTAATGGACCCGGAAGACAGCCTGCTGCAGCTGCCAGAGAGCCAGTCAGCCTGGAGGACAGAGTGTCTCAAGAGGGAGGGTGCAGGGCTTCCCTGGTGGCAGTGGTTGAGAATCCACCTGCCAATGCAGTCAACACGGATTCAAGCCCTGGTCCGGGAAGAGCCCACATGCCACAGAGCAACTAAGCCCGTGCGCCACAACTACTGAGCCTGCGCTCTAGAGCCCGTGACCCACAACTACTGAGCCCGTGCTCCTAGAGCCTGTGCTCCACAACAGGAGAAGCCACTGCAATGAGAAGCCCGTGCACCGCAGCGAGGAGTGGCCCCCGCGCGCTGCAACTAGAGAAAGCCTGCGTGCAGCAACGAAGACCCAGTGCAGCCAAAAATAAATAAATAAATTAAATTAAAAAAAAAAAAAAGGAGGGTGCAAGTGAGCACTGTGTGCAGCGCTGCCGCTGGCTCAGAACGAGGGCTGAGAAGGGGTGGGTGGGCATCAGAGCAGGGAGATCTCCGTGGTCTGGATGAAAGGAGCTTCTTTGGTGCCGTGGTGACTGTGAGAGCCAGGCTGGGGTGCGGGGGGATTCAAGGGAAGGAGAGAGGAGAAGAAGAGGATCCGCCATGGCAAAGGGGAGCAGAGAAGTGGGGGAGGGGAGGGGAGGGGGGATGAACAGTGTGACCATTGGAGAGAGGAAGTGGGGTGATACTGGGTGGGGCAGGCGGAGAGGGGTTGCCAGGGCAGTTTCCTAACGGAGTGAGGGCTGGGCTCTAGCACCCAGAGTTGGGGGGTTGGTTTTACCCCAAAGCACAGAGGTCGCTCCACATGGGGGGCCCAGGATATGGCCCTGAGGTTGGGAGGCAGCTAGATGCCCAGGTGGGAGGATCTCCTGGGGCTGCTTTTGTCTTCCCAATGAAGTAGGAAACAGGTTACCAGCTGACCAGAGGGATGGCCCGGTGTAGGAAGTGGGCAGGAGGGTCTGGGAGAGGGGGTGGGGGATCAGAACAGAGGACTGTGGATGATCACAGGGACTGCAGCGAGAGCCCCTGGAGGTTGGGGGGACACATGTGTCTCCTTCACACACCTTCAGCGCCCCAGGATCAGGATGGAAGGGCACCTGGGGCTGGGCTGTCACCAAGGGGTACAGCCGTGTCCGAGAAGAGCGTCAGTGCCTAGTGTGTCTCAGGAGAGTGGTCCTGAGCTAGGTGAGGGGGGTGGGGGATTTGAAAGGCAGTACCATGAGTGGGTCATAGATGGGCTTGTGGGGGAAGGGCAGTTGGGGTCATGACCACAGGGAGTGAGTTGGGGAGGGAAGAGGAGGAGAGCAGGTGGCCATCTTTGGAAGATCTTTCTTCCTTTCCCTGCCCTGCCCCTGAGTCCACTTTCTGTTTTGAACTTTGGCACATATTCCTGATCTTCCTTGATCATAGCTCCTGTGGGTCTCTGTGTCTCCGCTTCTAGCCCTGGTGCTTGTATACAGCAGGTATCCTATAAATGTTCTTGCATACAGTAGGTGTTCCATATATGTTCTTTTTAAAAAGCTTTTAAAAGAGAATTTATTATTTACTTATTTTAATTTATTTTTGGCTGTGCTGGGTCTTTGTTGCTGTGCGTGGGCTTTCTCTAGTTGTGGCGAGCAGGGGCTACTCTTCGTTGCAGTGCGTGGGCTTCTCATTGCGGTGGCTTCTCTTGTTGTGGAGCACGGGCTCTAGGTGTGCGGGCTTCAGTAGTTGTGGCACGAGGGCTCAGTAGCTGTGGCTCGTGGGTTCTAGAGCACAGGCTCAGTAGTTGTGGTGCATGGGCTTAGTTGCTCCGCGGCATGTGGGATCTTCCCAGACGAGGGATCGAACCTGTGTCCCCTGCATTGGTAGGCGGATTCTTAACCGCTGCACCACCAAGGAACTCCCTCCATATATGTTCTTGCATATAGTAGGTGTCCCATACATGCTTGAGGCTGAGTGGGGAGGGCTGATAGCACCCGGCTCTCGGGGTGGGGGGCGGGCATCCTAGGTGCATGGTGGGTCCTCACAGTCCATGTCATAGTTTTATTATAAACCAACAGTGTGTCCCCACAGGTGGAAGAGTGGTTGAGTCCCGGTACTTGCAGTATGAGAAGAAAACCACCAAAAAGGTAACATACAATGTACGTTTGAAACAGTTCTGAACAGAGTTCTGACGAACTTGGAATTCTGAGACAAGTCACACCGGCCAGGCACAGCCTGGTCCTGAAAGAAGCATTTTGGGGACTTGGTCCGGTTGCCTTTGGGGCTGTCATGCCCTTCGTGCCAAGGCAGGGATCTCTGTCATGGGTGGCTGATCACTTTGAGAATCTCTTTTGCAAAGCCATGATCTCTGGTGAATCATAAAATTATTCCTGTCTCTCAACCCGGTAATTCCTTTCTGGATTCTGTCCTGAAACAGTTCTGTCTAATGCCTGGCACGTGGTTACCTGGCCTTGGCTGGTATTGTAAAAAATACCCGTAGGGTTTTAGAGAAAGGGTTTTAGGGGAAGAAAGACATGGCTGAATCACCCAGTGTTACAGGAAGAGTTCAGTGAACTAGCCACACCACAAAAACCATGAAACCATTGAAAATGATGGCCTGAAACACTTAACAACTTGGGAACCTGTTTTGTGTGATGTTTAATGAAAATAATCATTAGATTACCCAGTGACATTTTGTTTCAGTGTGTATGCATGGATAGCGTGGTGAAGGTTGTGTCATTCCATTTTCCAAATCTTTGTTTATGATAAAGTTTAGTTAAATATTAATTTCTGCTGCCTTTCTTTTACTCTGGTAGGGTGAATGGCAGGTTAATGTGGCTTAAGATTTGGCTTGAAGAAAAAGGATACCTTTATGCAAACTGATAGGCTTCTTGGAGTGATTTATTTTTTAATGGACTTAATTTTTTTAGAGCAGTTTTAGGTTCAAAGCAAAATTGAGTGGAAAGTACAGAGATTTCTCATACACACCCCTGTCCGCCCCCTCACATGCGTAGCTTCGCTGTTGTCAACATCCCGCAGCAGAGTGGGGCATATTTACAATCGATGAACCTACATTGACACATCCTTACCCAGAGTCTGTGGTTTACAGTATTGAAATGATTTTCAACAGAGAATACTAGTCCACACTTCATAATTTTAACGTTGCCTGGCAAACTTGGTTACAGTACCCCCATGTGTTTGCATGTTCTAGTATTTTAGATCTTTAAGAGCTTCTCCGTTTTCTTTTTTTTTCATCTTTTAAATTAAGGTGTAATTTACATAGAGGAAGTGTCACTCTTCAGCGTACAGTTCTCTGAGTTTTGAAAAACACATCCAGTCACAGACCCACCACAGTCAAGATAGAGAACACTCTGTCACCACCGGCCCCCCCCCCCCCCCCCCCCCCCCCCCCCCCCCCCCCCCCCC